TTTTGACCTAACAAAACGTCAGTTTCTTATGCTTTAACAGAAAACATGGATTACTCCTTTAATAAGATCAGTGAGATATTTATATACATATATAGTTACTTGTTTTATTATGTAAATATTTGTTTGATTTGTGTATTTTATTTATATACATGATATGGTTAACTATATTTAACATTAAAACCATTGTAAACATACTCTAGTTTTGATGACTGAGAAAGCACTTTCTCCTTCATTCACTAAACTTTTATTGAGCACCTGTTATGTTTTCTGCACTCTGCTCTGTGCTTGACACATAGGATGAGTAAAGCATAGTCCTTGCCCTTGAGGCTCTCCCAGTTTAGTAGGGGAGATAAACACATCCACAGATAATTACTACAGAGGTGGTGTACAAGGGTTAAGAAGGAAGTCTCTGAAGTCAGACAGACCCAGGAGTCTTGTCTGAGTTTCAACACTATTGCTAAATAGCCAACCTCGCTTTGCCTCATGGAAATAATAATAGTACTTCACAGGGTTGTTGTGAGAATTAAATTTGAAAATGCATGTAAAAATTGCTTAGTATTGTGTTGTAGTTAACAAGTCTGTGGGAAACATTAGGTATTGCCATATGGTGTTAAATGTTATTATTTAATTAGGTGTGCCTGGGATTTGCCTCCTTTTGCATGTGGTTAGGTGAACTGGTTTTAATTATGAGTAATACATGATTAGACAACTATATGGTGAATAGTGAACTAGTTTGCTCTTGGTAAGATTTTCATCATCTTTCCCTGGAAGTAAGACCCACTGTTAACCAAAAGTCCTTGTCTAAATAACTGGCTGAACAGATTTAACATATCCCTCAGGAGTGAGGCTATCTTTCCTAAGTACTCGACATTCTTTTAATATCTTTAATAAAAAAGAGGACCTGAACACAGGAACTAATGAATTTGACAATAATCAAAAACTTACATCCTCACCTCAAACTCACCTTTGCCTTCTCAGATAAAAATTATTGTTAGTTATTGTCGAGATGCCACGATCTTAAATGCCTTCTATCAAAAGACACTAAGTCATCTTCCTGCTGGTCAGTAAATATTATTGAGCTCTACTATTTGTCAGGCACTGTGCTAGGATCTGAGGGTATAAAGGCAAGCAAAAACTACAGCCTGCTGGAGGAGAGACATTTATAAAATGAGTATTCAAATATATAACTAAAAATTGTAAGTAAAGTGTAGAGAGCAGTGACCCTGACTGAGACTGAGGGACAGGCTGGTGGTGGTCAGGGAAGAGTTCATTTAGGAAAGTAACATCTGGGGGCTTGGTGGGTTAAGCGTCCAACTTCTTTATTTTGGCTCAGGTTGTGGTCTCAGGGTTGTGAGATAGAGCCCCACGTCAGGCTCCGTGCTCAGCCGGGAGTTTGCTTGGGATTCTCTCTTTCCCTCTCCCTCTGCACCCCCCGCCTTGCACATGCTCTCTCCCTCCCTCTCTCTCTCAAATGAATAAATAAATCTTAAAAAAAAAAAAACATCTGAAAATACTGCTTACCCTTGAGTAGAGCTGGCAATTTTCTCCAAATTCCAAAACTAAATAAGATATTTATATATATAATTACTTGTTTTATTCTTCTGTTATAAGGAAATAAAAGTTTAGCCAAATCAATTATCTGGCTGCATTTATGAAAAATACTAAGCTGATATAAATTATTTACTCTTAGCCAATCAGATACCTAATGTTAAACATGACTTTTCTGTTTGATTGACATTTGGCCCCACATAGGTTTCATTTCATTAACAGTATTCAAAATAAAGCCCTTCACCTCTGGGGTGATTTTCTCATTATCAACACGCTCACACGCAAAATGTGTACTTCAGTACTGTCCTTCACATGCACTAACCAAGAAGATGGGGAAAATTTAGAAAACAGTAAAATGACTAAGTTCTTCTTACCTTATCTGGGAGAGATGCCTTGCTCTGGAATGATATTTAATGTATAAACATGCCATTTCTCCATGGTTTGCCTTTGGGTTTTTTTTTAAGAGATTGAATAAGGAAGGGGGAACGTCAGCGCACACTTAAGATTGCTTATCTCATAGGAAGGATTATAACATACCAACCACTCTATAAAAGATTTCCTCAGAAAGGCATTGGGTCTCCCAGAACACGGGGCGGGGGGTGGGGGGAGGAATGATTGCAGAGAGTGCCTGTCCATTTTAACTTTTTATTGAAATATTTACAGGGGCACCTGGGTGGCTCAATCAGTTGAGCAGCTGACTCTTGGTTTCCGCTAAGGTCGTGATCTCCAGATTGTGGGATCGAGCCCCACGTCTGGCTCCGCGCTCAGTGCAGATTCTGCTTCAGATTCTTTCTCCCTCTCCCTCTGCCCCTCCCCACTCTCTCTCTCTCTCTCAAAAAAAAAAAAAAATTTACAAGAATCTTCACATCCTGGGGTGCCTGGCCGGCTCAGTTGGAAGAGCATGTGACTCTTTTTTTTTTTTTTTAAAGATTTTATTTATTTATTTGACAGAGAGAGACACAGCGAGAGAGGGAACACAAGCAGGGGGAATGGGAGAGGGAGAAGCAGGCCTCCCGCGGAGCAGGGAGCCCGAAGCGGGGCTCGATCCCAGGACCCTGGGATCATGACCCGAGCTGAAGGCAGTCGCTTAACCAACTGAGCCAGCCAGGCGCCCGAGCATGTGACTCTTGATCTCAGGGTCTCAGGTTCGAGCCCCATGTTGCATATAGAGATTACTTAAAATAAATAAAAGAAAATAAAAGAATATTCACATTCATTTATTTCAGCCTCAAATAAACAAAAGCTTGATTTAAAAAAACTAGATTTTTTTTGCCATGTCCAATGGAATCTGCTGAAATCCACTGAGTGGTCTTCAGTAATTTCCTAAAGAAATACCACTTCGTCCAATTTACATTTTTCTCAAGCAATCGGTAACTAACCTATTCATCAAACTTGAGAGAATGCCCCAAAAGAATTTTTTTGGAAAAGCTGTTTTTCTTCTCGCTGAGCCAGACAATCACTGTGTTTTCTAGCCAGTTGGATTACAGCAAGTCAGTGAGATCACAGCAAGAAGCCCAACTATGTTGTACCCGTTTTTATCACAAGAAATGAACTCATCTACACGAATCATTTGGTGCAAAATAAATAAATTCCTTCAGTAGAACATTATCACAGGATCAGAATGTCCTACTTTGGAAAGGAAAGAATGAACACAATGTAGCTTTACAGTAACAGCAGGAAACCATTATTTTGTTGCTCACAGTGGTATGTTTCAGCCCATGTTTTCTTAGAAGGAACCATAAATCCAAAGTGTTAGCTAAACTAATCACGAATAATATCAAACGAGCTCTCTGATTATAGCCAGTGATCATTACATTAGCTGGAAGCCTACGAATTTGCTACCTTTCAAGAGTCATGTTATGTGAATTATTTCATAATACACCCTAATAAAAAGATTAATTGAAGTAAGATAATAATAATAGCTCACAATTCTTGAGCTCCTCCTATAAGCCAGGCGCTGTGAGAGACACTTACATATCTTATATGATTTTTTAAGTGAAACATAAACTCAAGATTATATTTTCTTCTTTTTTTTTTTTTAAAGATTTTATTTATTTATTTGCGACAGAGAGAATGAGAGACAGAGAGCATGACAGTGAGGAGGGTCAGAGGGAGAAGCAGACTCCCTGCCGAGCAGGGAGCCCGATGCGGGACTCGATCCCGGGACTCCAGGATCATGACCTGAGCCGAAGGCAGTCGCTTAACCAACTGAGCCACCCAGGCGCCCTATATTTTCTTCTAATAAAACAAAATATGACACTTAGAACTAGATCATTTGGCCCTTTCTCTTCTTATCAAAATGCTTGCTTCTCTTAATAGCCAGCGTTCTCTTAGATCCACAGTTGGGATCAACACATTCAAGCCTCAGCACAATCTTCTTTATAGATTTAACCTTTTTCCAGAAAATCCATCCGCCCACCATAGCCACTTGCTTCCTGTCATAACGCTGCTTTCCCTGGCATACAGAGAATCCTTGCCCCTCTTGTAATGTGTCACTTTGTGGGGTTAGTGTTTGCCACACTTCTTACAGAAAGTCTGGCAGTTTTAGGAATGGTCACCATGTCTGTGAGAGTGCTATCCTTGTATAATTCTTAAAACAACCCAACAATGGTTCACTGATGAGCTTTCTCCCCAGATGACAGATGAAGAAACTCAAGTTGATTGTAATAAAAAAAAAAAAATGATGTGATACATATGACCACTGTCTTTGATTTGCCAGTATAGGGGAGGAAAAAAAAATCTTTGCTTCCTCCTCTTCTAAATTCTCAGCTGGGGCCCCTGTAACAAAGGACAGAGTATCCAGAGAAAAGCATACAGATTTTTTAATGTAAATTTTACCTGACATGGGAGCCTTCATAAGGAAATGACCTGAGGAAACAGTTAAACCTGAGTGTTTTTATACTACGTTTGACCAAAAATGGGGACTCGTGGAAAATGTGCTAGGTCAAAGGGTTAGGAGCAGACAGTAGTACAGTGGGGGAAATATAGCAAGGCTTATTCAGATTCTTCTCAGAGTCCCTCCTTCCTCAGAGGTAAGGATGCTTCCCTCAGGGTATATGGAAGGCACCTCTCACGTGAGACTCATATGACCTGCTTCAAGGAGACCAGGAAAATCAGAGAGTCCTTCCTGAACCTGCTGTTTCTCAAACTCCTTCCGCTTAAACTATTCAATATACCCAGGTGCCATATTTTGGGGTAGCATGTCCTGTACTTTATCAGTATCTATGGTGGATTGAGAAAAAAATGGGAAATAGTACCTACAAATAAGACAATGGGAAATAGAAGTACATTAGAAATAGAGGGAAAATGGGAAACAGGAGTCTGGAGGCAGGAAAATAAATTATAATAGTAGCAGATGACTCTCTATCAGACAGTGAGCCTCACTTGACTGCCTCATTTCATCCCCACAGCAACCTAGTCAAGTAGATATTATTATTATCCCTCTTTTCCAGATGGAGAAATTGAGGCTTGGAACTTTTGACTAACTTCGCAAGGCCACTCAGGTAGGTAATAAGTGGAACTGCAATTTGAAGCCAGGGTCTGCCTGACTCCAGGGCCCTAGTCCTTCACTACCATAAAATACCGCCCAGAAATGCTTGTGATTGTGGATTTCATCAAAGCACGTGGTGAGGATGGGCTGATGGGAAAGAGGGCAGTTTAACCACTGAAGAGATGAGGGTGACAGAGAGGGAAGATAGACATGGAAGACTGGAAAGGAAACGGAGAACTAAAATTCAACTCGGGGCACCTGAGTGGCTCAGTCGGTTAAGCATCGGTCTTCAGCTCGGGTCATGATCCCAGGGTCCTGGGATAGAGTTCCGCATGGGGCTTCTTGCTCAGCAGGGAGTCTGCTTCTTCCTCTGCCCCTCCCCCCCACCCCACCCACCCGGCTCATTCTTGCTCTCTTGCTTTCTCGTGCGTGTGCAAAAATAAATAAATAAAATCTTAAAAAAATAATAATAAAAATAAAATAAAATTCAACTCTGTGTAAACATCCTAGATATATTTAGATATCTCAAGAGACAGTGGGGACCAAGGGCAGTGACAGATGAGACATAACTGGAGTGTCTTTGGGGGCTGCCATGACTTCTCTTCATCCCATACTGGTGAGCCAGTCTTCGGGCCAAGGAAGACATTCTGTGTTCTGGAACTGCAGCGTTGATCAGGCAAAACGCCACATCTAACCAATTATCTGTAGTTTGGGGGCGGCTAGAGCATGGGCTTGGCTCCCTTCCTCGGTTAGGGTAGCTGCAGCAGCGATTAAAGTAGCCTCAGTCTGACTGCCAAAAAAAAAGAGAGAGAGAGAGAGAGATCAACAGAAAGCTGTACATATTTGAATACTGTGTTAATGTTCTGGCTATGCAAAGCAATTCTATTAATCTTGCTTATTGGTCTCTCGATTCCAACAGTCGTATTAGGGACCTGGCTTCCAACACACAGTCCTTGAAGAGGACAGGTTGGGGTGCAAGGAAGAGAGTCTGGGATTTCTTAAAGAAAGAATTTGCATCCACAATACCAAACTTGGAGTACTATCAGAATTTTCTCTCCTGAAGCCTTTCCCTGCTTGTCTGGAATTCCACTTAGCCCTCCTTTCCTCTGAGGGACTGCTTCCCCATCTTGATGTTCAGTTCCATCATTATCCTAGGAGTGGGAGGTAAATTTAGGTTTTGGAAATTGAGTGGACCAGAAAGAAACTTCATATACATTTTTTAAAAACCTTACCTCACCCCCATCCTCCTCTCCCTCTTCATTGTCTTCTCAAGGTCAGACCAACACTTTTGGACTACAGATCTATTAAAAGATAATTTTTTAAACAGATAAATCATGACTCATATACAAATATAAAATTAACATGTCTCAAATGTTTTATTTAACTCATTAATGAATGATAGAATCAGTAAGATGTTGCCATGGCTTAAAAAGAGATTTCAAAGTGTCACACATATATAGGCCATCAGGAATGTTGAAATGAGTTTATAAACAGTTGCAAAAATTGGCAAAACTGGTTAGTAATTCACAGGGCAATAATCAATTGCATTCCACTGGACACAATTCATTCATATTTCTGTGGACAAGGATCATTTGCATTATTATAAGTTGTCGACAATGTGAACAATTGTGAAATATTCAGACAGTAACAGGCAGAGAACCCGAAAACACACACCAGGTAGGATACTCAGAATCTGTCTTCCCATTTCAGTATCCTTCACAATTTTTCCTGACAGGCCCTAAATGCTGAAAAACTTATATCCCTCTTCATATGTAATTCAACATAATATATATATATATACTAAACCAAACTCATAAATTTCGTAATGAAAGTAAAATAATTTTTTTCCAGAATTTTCTTACTGCAAAATGATACATTAATCCATGGAAGTTAAACCTTTTTGTTGTTTTACTGCCTCTGCTTTACAGGTATACTAACTTAGTCCGCTTTTGGAGTAATAACTCATCCCATGACAACCCAGCTTTTGGCCACACTGGTGACATCTTTAGTAAAATCCTCTTATAGGCCAATAGGCTGAGTATTTTCTAATGAAATAGATCCAAGGAAAAAAAAATGGAAGAAACATGTAGTACTGTCACTGTGAATGGGTAAAATCTCTGAAATAAAAGCCAACCATAGGGGGGCCTGGCTGGCTTGGTTGGAAGAACATGCGACCCTTGATCTTGGGGTTGTGAGTTCAAGCCCCATGTTGAGTGTAGAGATTACTTTAAATTTTTTAAAAATCTTTAAAAAGCCACAACAACCATAAATCATATTTTTTAGGACACCTACATATCACAAATCATGTCTTACAGTATACTTCTGTATTAAGACCACTGTACTGATTTTAATTCTAATGTTCCACTTAATGTGTCAAGAGGTTAAGGAGTGTGTGTGTGTGTTTGTAAGCAGTATGATAAGATGTCACCTGGAAAACACTTTAGATATTTGTTGAGTCTATTAGTTAAATGGATAGTTTTTTATTATTCAATGTAAAATAACTAATTACAAATTTAAACAAATTATTTATTTTATTTTTTTAGACATTTTATTTATTTATTTGAGGGGAGGGGGCAGAGGGAGAGGGAGAAGCAGACTCCCCGCTGAACAGGAAGTCTGACACAGGGCTGGATCCCAGGACCCTGAGATCATGACCTGAGCTGAAGGCAGACGCTTAATTGACTGAGCCACCCAGGCGTCCCTGAACACATTATTTTATTTATTTATTTATTTTTTAAAGATTTTGTTTATTTATTTGACAGAGGGAGAGACAGCAAGAGAGGGAACACAAGCAGGGGGAGAGGGAGAGGGAAAGCAGGCTTCCCGCCCAGCAGGGAGCCCGATGTGGGGCTGGATCCCAGGACCCTGAGATCATGACCTGAGCCGAATGACTGAGCCACCCAGGCGCCCCTGAACAAATTATTTTAAATAAAAGTTGCCTAGGAAGCAAGCAGCTTTCTAGATTTGAAAATGAGAAGGTGGGGACTGACAGGGGGATAAAGGATGAAAAGTTGAAGGCTTTTGGTTATACTTTCCTCCAAGTGTTCTAACTCTGAGCTGGGAGTAGAAATAGTCCGTACAGTATAGTCAAGTAGAATCTAAAGGGTGCCCCGAAACAACAGCAGCATGCGTCCCAGGGTGACCCTTGCCAGCTGGGACCGAGCCCCCGCTAGCCACCAGCACCATCAGTGAGCTCCAGTGGTTTGCCAGGAGGACGTGATCAGGGGAAGGCTGTTGTTCCGTGGTTAACACTTCCACCCAGCTCCATGCGGGCAAATATCCAAATTAGACAAAACTGATGGCCAGGCTACTGCTCTCTATTTCCACATCTGTTTAGGTTCCTCTTGGTTCTTGCTCCAGTCATGATTTCTGCATTCTGACTCCTGGCTGATCCGGTTCCTGCAGCTTTCTTTGTTTCTGGTCTTACTGAGTGAGTGTCCATCCTTGGCTAATAAATAAGCTACATTCTCTGACGCACGGCTTCCTTTAGCTGGCTGCCTTCATTCCTCCACATGTGGTGGAACATCGGTGCTCCGGGCTCCGAGTCAGCTCTGTCCTGTGTGGTGAGTCCTCCCCTGGCAGGTCCCCAGCAGCGGCGGCCACATCTCCTTCCTCGAGGTCACTCTACGCTTCCCGCCCCAGCAGGCTTGCTTCCTCCAGGAGCCCCGCAGCACTACCTCAAGCTATTTCCTGGCTCAGGTTTATCCAGATAAACGACTTGGTTGCTGAGATAATTCCAGAATTCTGATGGTCCCAGCTTGGAATAAGAAGGAGAAAGTAAGCAAATTTTGACCATAATGATAGAGGTTGATGTTTCATAGGTAAAATTATTGACTTACACCCAAGTCTATATTTATCTAAGATCTTCCTCACTTGTTCTTTCAACGGGTATTTATTGAGCAATTTCAAGTGCTGGGAATTGTTCTAGCAACTAAGGATATAGCAGAGACTAAAAAAAAACAAAGTTTGGGTATTCAGAGCTTACACTGTACATCTAATGGGGTTTCTTAGAGAGAGGAGGTAAATAATTAATGATTTAAAGAGTTCTACTTTAGAGAGGGGAGAACTTTCAGCGTCTGATTGGTATGCTAATATATGCTCTCAGTTAATCACAGATAAAGTAACCATTAAATCTGTGGCCCCTACCTGAAATCAGGGCACAGTGTTCCAAAAGGTATAGTCTTGCAAGCCTTAAAGAGTTGAGACATAGCAAATATCCTGGCCTGTGTTTTTTTCCAACTTTTTATTATGAAAAATTCCAAACATTCAGAAAAGTCGAAAGACTAGTACAGAGAACAATTACATACTTATAATCTAGATCGATTATTAACATTTTGCTATATCTGGTTGACCTGTAATTATTTATGTATTTTCAACTTATTATTTGAAGATAATCTCAAGCTTGCAAAAGAGTTACAAGAAAAATTCAAAGAATCCTCTCAAATCCTTTTTTACCTCTATTCACCAATTGTTAAATTTTTGCTCTATTTGTGTTTATATTCTGTCTGTGTAATGTGTGTATGTAGTTTTTCCGAATCATTTGAGAGGAAGTTACATACCTCCCAGCTCCCTTCTCCCTATATATTTTAGTGTCTATTTCCTAAGAGCAAAGACATTGTTCTACATAATCGCTGTATACTTAATAATCACAGGAAATTTTAAGTTGATGCAATACTTTTAGCCAATCCTTAATCCATGTTCTAGTTCTGTCAATTGCTTCAATAATGTCCTTTTTGGCCTTCTATTCTTCTCTAGTATAGGATGCAGTCCAGAATCATATATTACATTTAGTTGCCATGTGTCTTTAGTCTCTTTTAATCTGGAACATTTCCATAGCCTTTCTTTGTCTTTGATGACATTGGCATTTTTAAAGAAAACAGAACTTAAAAAAAAAAAAAAGTTCCTCATTTAGGGGTTGTCTTTTTTTTTTTTTAAGGATTTTATTTATTTGTTTGACAGACAGAGACACAGCAAGAGAGGGTAAACAAGCAGGGGGAGTGCGAGAAGGAGAAG